ATGAGTCAAAGACGCGTAATTTGGCGGTGGGTTTGCACATGATCGACAGACGTGGATGCAGCAGTCCGAGACGTCACCGGAGCAGCATTAAACCGATGATGGTGATAAGTACAGCTCCGACATTCCGTAGCCCATAATATAGTTATACTTCTCGAAGACCTGTAGAATATTGACGTTCTTTTATTCTATGCTGTTTTACGTTAATTTCTTTGTGAGGACACAGGCAGTTTTTTTAAATTATATCGCCGTGATAAATTTCCGTTGTAAAGTGCCATTTTAGCATCAGTCAGAAATCTGGTGTTGGAGAAGATCGCGAACACGGTTTTCTTTCCATGCAAGTACTCGACGAATGGCTGCGCAGCGGTCATGCTTCATCAGGAAAAACTGGAGCACGAGGAAGCATGCGAGTTCAGGTGAGGAAATTATTTTCCTTGCTTAACCTACATTCCCTGAAACACTTCTTAAATCCTAGGCGCTTTAGTAACGGTAAATCTTTGCCTATTTCTCCACTTGCCGTCGTTACAGAGCGCTGAGTAGAGGTGAATATTTCAAGCAAACTAATGTGGTCACATTTGGCTCAGATCTTGTAGTAAAAAATTTTCTTGCCGAAGTCCTGTGTCAATTTCAGGCATCTACTTGGGGCTGTCGCTGTCTTATGAAGTAAAATTGCTTATTAACATGTCAACTTTTCGAAACTCATAGACTTCGTTTACCACCAGAGCGTTAATAAGCTAATTCAAAAGGTTAGTTCAGTTTGTGTGATCATTTCCTAGAGCCTTGTGCATAAGCAGAGTGTATCTGGTTTGTAATTTTAGTTGTATTCGCAACTTTACAACACTTTGGCTACAAGACACCGGTTACTGCACCGTACAATAAAATATTCATATCCAAAAGCAGATCTACCTTTACCTTATTCGTCCATGTTGCATTTCAGCTTCTTGGCCAAAGTCCTCAATGTTTCGGTTCCCACATGAGAAGTTCATCAACTGGAGTAAATAATTTATGTTCAACCAATTCGTCTAACAGAGCCAACCTTCTTTAATTCCCTGATCTATCCCGCATTCATGTACCAAAAACAGAATATGGTCATTCGTTGCGTGATCCTGCGATTTGAACCCGATTATGCGTCGAAACAATGTTATTTTATGCAATTCAACGGTCGTTGTTGCTCCTTCTTTAAAACAATTGTCTCCATTCAGTAAAACACAGTAACTTGACCGAGGCAACGTACAGGCGCGATTTTGTGTAAGGGGCAGCTTCCTTCTCATCCCAGATGTTTGAAAGTCTACTAAGCGCACAGCATGCCATGCGATGTTCCTATTTAACTCTGATTGAAATTTGCCATCGTTGGGTTCAAAAAGGCAGTTTTGTGTATAACGCCATCTGGTGTAAAGTAATGAAAACGTTGGAGTTGGATTACCAAATAATGTCAAGTATTGTTAGAACTACTGACGAAAAGCTGAGTGTCATCCTTCCTGGCAGACAGTGTATTAAACGGTTTCTGGCAGCTCCAGCACATGTGAACTAGTAGCTTATCGTGTATTTCTGTTGTATAGTGTCGTATATATTATCAGTTAATCTTGTTTTCAGTGTCTTTGGCAGTCATGTGGCAGTGCTGTCCCAAATATGGCTGAGCTATTGAATAATGGAACACCATTTTTATTATATTTTAAAGATCTGGATTTCTGAAAGCAGTTCGGAAGTGTTGACTTTCAGTATCACTGCTTCACTACAGAATCCTTGTTTTTAGACCATACTCTTGCCCTTGTCCAGGGGCTTCGTGCAAGTGGCAAGGAAGTTTGGAGAAAGTTATGCTGCACTTAACCAAAGTTCACAAATCTATAACAACCTTACAGGGTAATATTTAGTCACTTAAAGTCGGTTGCGTTGTTTATATCATGTATCTCTGATTCCAGTGTATGTTTGCAATATCACTTAAATGCGCATTTCTTATTGATTTTCGATGATTCAGGAGAAGACATTGTTTTTCTTGCCACCGATATAAACCTTCCGGGTTCGGTTGATTGGGTGATGATGCAGAACTGTTTTGGATTTCATTTCATGCTGGTGCTTGAGAAGCAAGAAAAGTGCGACGGTCACCAGATGTTTTACGCAGTTGTTCAGCTGATCGGCTCACGAAACCAGTCGGAAAATTTTATGTACAGGTAATGCTTTTTATTAATCAACACGTCTATAACCACAAAGGCCATT